AGGTAATGTAAGAATTGACACAACCCCTCACAAATCTTGCACCATACTAAGCCATCAGCCATGGCCATAAAAAGTTTGGGGGCAGAGCAGAGCCCAAATGAGAGGGCAAAGTCTATGTAGGTTGTTCCTCCCATTGCACTGACAGAAGACTGGTCATCAGAATGGACTGGAACATGCCTTTAGGAAGCACTGAGGTGTGACTTCTCCATTCTGGCACCCTACTTTACTGCTTTGATCTGCGCCACTGCATTATCCAACCACAAGTAACTGAGTGTTGTTAGGTCAGAGTTAATGCTCTCATTAATGGACCTTTAAAAAATATTTGATTATTAATGATATGATAACCACACCTTCATTTTAAGGTGCTTCAGGGGTCTGGCTAATGATTTTGGCTCTAATATAACTATACTTGTCATGAGAGATCACTATCATGCTCTTGAGCTTGGTTTTTGTCTTATTATGAGCTAACAACAGGTCACTTGACAGTGGAACAGTGCAATTACTCATTAAAATTAGTTATTTAACTTTAATATATGGGTGTGGTTAATAGATTGTTTAAAATAGCATTAAAAAGTGACAATGATTCAAATTAATCCCTTAATTATTGTTGATATTGATAAAGAAGCAATATATTGCCCATCACTATTCAAACTGTAATTGCTCAAAATAACCAAATTTGATAGATATAGATTCTGATAATTGCAAATAATTATTAAATGCATGGAACAGTTATAGTTGCTCAGATTGCAAAGTCAAAGTAGCTAGCAGGACAAGAATAAACTCAATAAGAAATGATGCGACAGACAAACAAGGAAAGTGAGTATTGAGTCGTATTTAACAGAATACAGTTACTCTAACCTGGGCCTCTGTCCTTGTGTGTACCACTATTAGGAGCCGGGCCAGACTTGCCACCATTAAAAATAAATTGAGTAGAGTCACAGGCAGCAGCACCATGGTCCACTGCCCTACAACATGAGCAACAATAAATAGGGGCATATTGAGTAGGTGCAACTGGTTGACCTACTAAATCGCTATGGTAGCATGAATTGGCTCATCGGAAACAGTAGTAGATATAGAGTCAGATTTAAAAGTCAATGTGCTATTAATAGCTGCAGTTTTACTTCTACTACCTAGTTAATTCAATTATTTATATTGTTTTGTATATTGATATTTTCATTTCTTTACTTACCTTGACTCATACAACTAAACAAAGTAAGCTGCTCAGACTTAAAACTTGGTTTAGAAAAAGAGGACATGACTCATTTAAAGTAGGTGGTAGCTGCTGTAATAACATGTGTTTTATGGGAGGGCTTAAGACATGGACTGTATGATTAACCCTGTCACAGTCAATAATGCATTAATGCATCTGGGGGTGGGTCCATGAAAGTTTTGATAAGGCATTAATGCGTTGAGATGCATACTGCTTCTTGAAACTTCTTATAAAATAGTCTACTGCAGAAAGTAAAGGTATTGTAGGCTATATCAAACCTGCTCTTTCTCTATTTCCAAATAATAAGCTGGTAGCTAGTTGCTTTGCTGTGTTACAGAGGAAGAAGCGATCATCATTATTGATGGCTGCAAAAAAGGCCTGCTATCTCACGAACACTGGATGTGCTCAAAGAAGAGCAAGCAGATCTTTCCTCCATGATGTCTTAGGAGTTCAAAGAGCTATTACAAGCCAGTTAGAGATTGTCTTCGCTAGGGGAAGTATTCATCGGATCGCTCCTGTCCATTGCTAGTTATTCTAAATCGTTCTTGTGATGTCTTGAGTATTCTATGAAATAAGTCAGGTTAGCAGATAATCCTTCAGTTGGTATCAGGGCTGATTTGTTCCCACATCTGTATAAATCAATGTCTGTTATTCTGAAGCAGCATAAAGACCTCATCTCATCTGGTGTAAATCCCTCTGTTATTAAAGCTGGAAATCTGTTCATGATGAAAAGTTTGGCTCTGTTGTTAATCAAGAATTCCAGTTGTGTTCTGCCTCTGATCTGGAAGGTCTACTCCAGTACAGGACCCCTTACAAGACGTTACAAGCTCTCTAAATACCCCTAGTGCCACTACTATCCCTGCAGTCTCATCAGTTCAAAACAGCTCCTGACTAGGTGGGGGTTATGGTCGCATTTTTCTTAGTTTGTGGAATGCTCGAAGTGTAAGGAACAAATTAGATGTTTTCAATCTGTTGTCTATAGTAAGTCTCTTGATATTGTTTCTCTCACTGAGACTTGGCTTTCTTCCTCAATCTTTGACTCTGAGGGTTAACCCACTGTATATACAGTATATGGATAGGTCTCACACTGTTGGTGGGGGTTTTCTTGCTGTGTCTACTACAATTCCATCCAGACATGTTCATACTGCTGTTGATGTGGAAGTGATCATAGTTGAATTAACTCTTGCAAAGCCAGTCTATGTCTGTTGTGTCTACTTGCCTCCTCCTCCTCCTGATGCTGCACCGGGGTCATCTTTGTTTCATCATCTCACACTGTCAGTACCAGAGGGATCCCATCTGCTGTTATTAGGTGCTTGACATTGATTGGAGCTCTCTATCAGCCTCCTCATTACCCTCTCGTTCTCTTTGAGATGAGCTATTGTCATTAAATTTTGCTCAACTAGTTACTTGCCCAAACCATGCAAGCGGTAACATTGTCAATCTTGTTGTCATGAATATCCCTGAGGCAGTATGTGATATGTCAGTTAGGAGAGATTTATGCACTGGTGTATCTGATCTCTATTTTATTTTTTATTTTTATTTTTTTATTTTTTAATAATAAACCAAAACCATAGGTAGTGGGATAAAATTTAAAAAAATGAAATAAAAATTAGGATAAAAATAGGTTAAGATGGAATAGTTCAGTTGGTGACTCTGCCTTCAGAAAGAGCAAGGTCAAAGTCAAGGAATAAATTAGATGGACAAGTCCGTGTGCCACGGAGGCAAAGAACAGCAGAGTGGATTAGAGCAAATGATATTTTACAGCGTATTTAAGAGCAAAGCGTGAAGCCAGTCTCTTATAGAAAATTGAGGCAGATGGTCCCATACCTCCAGTTGTTGAAAAAACAAGAGGTGTGAAACACCCGTGTTCCACCTGAATGACTCTATCCTCATAGAGACACCTCTTCTCAAGCTCATGACGATGGTAGCAGGCAGGTAAAGACTGATTATGAGTGGAATGTGCAGTACGATTAAAAATCCTTGCATCAAAAAACTCACTTTGTCGTGAACAGTTCCTGTTGGGAATTTCCCTACTCATTATTATTCATAATTATTATTGTATTCATTATTGTACTACACATGCGCATACACTCTTTCATGTGTTTTGTTGCTGGTTTGATAAAGAAGAGGATATACAGTCCTTTGAAGTTAAGAAGTGAAAATAACTGGGAAAGGGAAGTTACAACACAACAGGGGACAGCTAGGTGTACTCAATCGAGCCAGAAGAAAGGTATACACAACATCTGGTCGAAACGAGCCAGATTGGAGAGTGTCTAGCTGATTGAAGAGGACCCTTCCAGGGTTATTCCATTGTACATAGTCGCTCGAAGACAGAAAGGCACTAAAGGGCCAAAGGAAAGCAAGTTCATGCTTCTAGTTCTAGTATTAGTGTATTCTGAATATTATTTTTTGTTTTTATAATAATAATATCACGTATCTGGACGGGCAACGTTTGTAGCTATTGCGGCGGGGGCAAAACGAGTTAGAGCAGGACATAGGAGTACTGCCACTAAGTGGATTGGGGAAGTCGATGCTTTAGTAGCAGCGGCAGAAGGAGGAACACTACCAGACAGGATTAGGGTGGTGCAATTGAAGAGAGGTCTTGAGGATCAGGTTGGAAATCTTGATAAGTTTAACACGGATATACAGGATCTTCCAGGAGAGGAAGAGGCATTGGTGGACGAAATAGCTTCTTGTGAGGAGTTTAAACTAGGAATTTTTGGGGCCATTTACAAATTGGAAGAATTAGGGAAGGTGGGCGTAACGCCATCCGGCCAAACCCCTCCATCACCACCCACGCCAATGCCTGCTCGGAATAATAAGGCAAAACTGCATAAATTAACCTTGCAACGTTTTAATGGAGAGCCCACTCAGTGGTACTCCTGGGAACTTTATGATGCAGCAGTTCACTCCAACACAGAGCTGTCAGATGTTGAAAAGTTCACCTAATTGAAGTCTCTCCTTGAGAAATCAGCTCATGAAGCAATTACAGGGTTAACACTAACAGGGGAGAACTACAAGGAGGCGATTGAAATTCTAGAGTCCCGCTATGGAAATAAGCAGTTCATTGTGAATAAATATATGGCTTAGATGTACAAGCTGTACACTCAATTAATGATGTGGTTGGACTGAGAAAGTTTTATGATAAGGTACAAAGCCAGTTTTGTAATTTAAGGGCTTTAGGCCAAACCACGGACTCCTATGGAAGTTTATTGATTCCGGTGCTGATGAAGAGGTTACCTCAAGAGTTCAGGCTTATACTCAGTAGGAAGATGAAGGATGAAGAATGGTCGGTGACTAGGATTATGGAGGAGCTGGAAGAGGAGGTCAAGGCCTGAGAGAAGACTAACGAGGTAAGTAGGACTACTGGGTTAACGGAAAAATCCTAAGCCAACTGGAGTTACGTTGTACAATCGGGGCAATATATGTTGCTGCTACTGTAGCAAGCAAGGGCATTTTCCTGAGGCATGTCGTGTAGCTGGTCAGGTAGACTCAAGGAAGGTGATACTACAGAAGGAAGGCAAATGCTTTACTTGCCTCATGAAGGGTCATCTTAGCTCTGAGTGTAGAGGGAATCAGAGATGTTCTAAGTGTAAGGGGCATCATCATGTTAGCATATGCTATAAAATTACTGACAATGCTGAGCCATCCAGTCAAAGTAGTGGATCCACAAAGTTCCCAGGAGCCAAGGACTAAGGGTAAGGGATCAAGTCTCGATTTTACAGCATCGCCATTTGGACCTGCCAGTACTACTATGTACATGCAGCATAATCGAATGGTATTACTACAGATGGCGAGGGCCTTGGCTATCAACCCAGAGGGCCCTGCCAAAACCACAGAGGTCCATGTCATAGTAGATAGTGGAAGCCAAAAGTCATTCATTACTGACAAGGTTAAGAGGCTATTAAGATTGAAATCCCTCAACAGGGGACCATTATCAAATATGACTTTTGGGTCTAGTAAAGAGAAAAGAGAAGTCTGTGAAGCAGTAAGGGTCAAACTACGCAATCAAGATGGAGAAGATCAGGAGATGCAACTTCTGACAGTATCACTTATATGTGAGCAGATTCACAAACCATCGACACAGTTCTGTATAGACAGATACGATCATTTAAGGGCAATAAAGTTGGTTGAGTTAGAAGAAGAGATTAAAGCAGATATACTTATTGGCTCAGATCATTACTGGGAATTCCTGACTGGGAAAATAATTAGAGGTAAAGAAGTCCCCGTAGCAGTTCATAGCACACTGGGATGGATTTTATCAGGGCCTGTCATGGAAGAGGATGCAAATACATCTACTAGTTTGGTCACTCATGTTTATGGAGCTCAGTTGACTCCAGCAGAGGTGTCCAAGAACTTGGACACACAACTAAGAGCCTTTTGGGATTTAGAGTCCTTTGGGATAAAGGCTAAGAAAACTTCAGTTGCTGTACAGTTTGAGAGAACAGTAAGATTTTTGAATGGGAAATATGAGGTTAACTTACCTTGGAAGGATCCAGATGTCACTTTGTCCAACAATTATGACCTTTGCTTAAGATGGTTGAGGGCCTTATTGCGGAAACTTAGAAAGGAACCAGATATAATGAGGAAGTATGACGCTGTTATGGAAGAGCAATTGGAGAATTGTATCATAGAAGAATTACAGGATCCAAGCATGGCAGATGGTCAACACATTCACTATCTTCCACATCATGCTGTGGTATGGTGTGATAGGGATACTACCAAATTAAGGGTAGTATATGATGCTTTGGCAAGGTTAGATGGAATGTCATTGAATGATTGTCTGCATGTTAGACCTAAGTTTAAACAGGAATGCATTGCGGTTCTTATGGGTTGAGAATGTAAATCATGCCAATTCTAGGATAAAGGTGATGCGTTTTGCTAGAGTGGTATTTTGAGTCACCGCTAGTCCAGTTTTGCTAAATGCTACAATTCATTTCCATTTGGAAAGCAAGCGCAAGGAGAATGAGCTTTTAATATTTAAGCTTCAGAGATCATTTTATGTTGATGATTTGGTCTGTGGATCACACACTGAAGAAAAAGCCTTTGCATTATATTTAGAATCAAAGAGATTGTTGCGAGAAGGGGGTTTTAATTTGTGAAAATTCTCTAGTAATAACACATCATTGACAGTCCTGATTGAGAGAATGGAGAGTCGACAGTGTCTGACTAATAGTGATAGCAATCTACACGAACATGAAAGCAAACTTTCATTTGCTGATAGTATTTTAAATGAGTCCCTCAAGATTGAGCCACAGAAGATAATAGCATTTTAAGAAAGGGATTTGAGTGCTGAGTTTGAGAGTCAGGTGTGTACTGAGAGTTGCGAAGACACAAGTTATGCTGAGTCAACACTTGGCAAATCCCAGATATCCCTTGTAGGTGAAAGGATGGTGCTAGGAGTACGTTGGAACGTGGATGAGGATCATATTGTCCTAGATATCCAGAAATCCTTAACTACGGCAGATGTGGGGAGTTTGATGAAGCGACATATTGCAGTTAGTAAATTCTACAATCCGTTGGGACTTCTCTCACCCATCATCATAAAAATGAACCTCTTCTTACAGAAGGTCTGCTTGGCTACTGTTGGGTGGGATGATGAACTTTCAGATGAATTGAAGAAGAAATGGAAATTACTATTTGAAGAGCTGAGAGATAGTGATACTGTTAGAATGCCAAGGTATTACTTGGCTGGTGTACAGGAGGAAGTGAAGTCATATCGCTTGTGTGGTTTTGGAGATGCTTCTAAGGGAGCTTATGCTAGAGTAGTCTATTTATTGGTGGAGACTAGCATTGGATTTACTTTGAGGATTGTTGGAGCTAAGACTAGAGTGGCACCAACTCAAATACTCACTATACCACGTTTTGAGCTACTAGCAGCTTTATTATTGGCTAGACTGGTGCATTCTATCACAGAGAGTTTGAACTCAGAAATGGAATTATTTATGTCTACTTGTTATACTGATGCCAAGGTTGCTTTACACTGGATTCTGGTTGTAAAGAGATCTTGGAAAATGTTTGTACAGAACAGGGTGAATGAGATACGGAAGTTAGTTCCTAAAACTCAATGGAGACATTGTGCAGGAATGAGCAATCCAGCAGATTTGCCATCGAGAGGTGTATCACCTGGAGAGCTGAAGAGTACCAATCTGTGGTTTAATGGCCCAGATGGGCTAGCTCAAGGAATAATGGAAGATAAACCAGAACTGGAGATGCCTGATAAATGTATTGTTGAAATGAAGGACAAGCTATTTGAGAGTGATGAGAGTACTTGTTGTTTGACTGTGACAGAGGAGGTTGGGTGTCACAGGTCATTGAGTGTGAGAGTTACAGTAACTAAAGAGATTCACACGTGTCATGTGCAGCATGCTTCGCTTTATCAATAACTTAAGATCCCACAGACCAGTTAGCAACTTAACTTTTATTTCGAGCTGAACTACTATGGATTTGAGATGTACAACTAACCTTTGCGTGGGAGAAGTCATTCAAGGACCTTCGGAGACGACTGGACTTGTTTCAAAATAGCAATGGACTGTGGAGATGTGGAGGGAGACTCCAATTGGCTGAGATTGAATATGGAGGAAAGCATTTAATCCTGTTACCCAGGGGTCATTACTTCATGCGCCTTGTTGTATTGGATGCTCACGAGAGGGTCATACATAATGGACCTAAGGAGACTCTGACGGAAATTCGGCAGAGATACTGGATAGCAGGGGGGAGGTCATTAGTGAGAAGTATTATTCAACACTGTGTGATCTGCAGGAGATTTGAGGGTCCAGCTTACAAACCACCACCACCGCCTCTGCTACCAATATTTCGGGTCAGCGAGAGTCCACTATTTAAATGTAGGTGTGGATTTTGCGGGACCAATCATGACCAGGGTCAATGCTATTACTAAAGGGAATGGTAAAGTTTGGGTATGTTTATACACTTGTTGTGTTGTAAGGGTGGTACATGTAGATATATTATTTGATTTGTCTGTTCAGTCATTTATTAGGTCTTTCAAGAGGTTTGCAGCACGTAGGGGGACTCCAAGAAAACTTGTCTCTGACAACGGAAAAGCATTCACAGCTGCTGCTAAAGCACTTAAAGCTATCTCAGAAAATAAAGCCATTTTAAATCTGTCATCTGGTTTCAGAATTGACTGGCAGTTTAATATTGTGAGGGCTGCTTGGTGGGGAGGTATATTTGAGAGATTAATCCGTTCCACAAAGCGACGTCTGCGTAAAATTGTTGGGAAGGCTAGTCTGACGTATGATGAACTGAATACGGCTGTGATTGAAATTTAAGCAGTGTTGAATAGTTGTCCAATATGCCATTACAGCACTGAGGACCATGATGAACCTCTCACACCCGTTCTTCTCATTACTGAGAGAAGACTGATGAGTCTACAAGATGGTCTTTGTTACCAGCACATAGACAGTGACATAGATACCACACCTCTGTTACTAAACAAAAGAATGAAACACCTTAATAAGACCATCGATAATTTCTGGACACGATGGAGATCCGAATATCTTCTTGGACTACGAGAGCAACATTGTATAAGCAAGAGGTCCACTAAGGAAGGTCAAGTGTCAGTTGGAGATGTTGTAATTATTCACAAGGATAATCTCAAGAGAGGTTTTTGGGACCTGGGAACCGTTACAGAGTTGATACCAGGAAAAAATAGACTCATTTGAGGTGCAATGGTAAGGGTGTGTCCTAGTGGGAAGAGAATAAATCATTTGAGACGATCTTTTTGTCATTTATATCCACTTGAATTTAATGATGGCAGTCGAGTTGGTGATGTTAATGACTCAACTGTACAGCAGACTAGCTCCAGTGGTGATTGCGATAGCCATGTTGCCAACACAGAAGCTGAAACCAGTAATGATTCTGGTACTGTAACCAATGAAGTCACTACTAATACAGCTGAGAGCAGAAGACCACAAAGAGCAGCAGCCACGATGGCAAGAGAGCGGATAGTAGCTCAAAAACTATCTGATTAATAATTGGTATGTGTGTGCAATCGCTAATTAATTATTAATAGTGTATGAATTTATTGTTGTATATGTATGCATTACTTATTAATTTGTAATACTCATAATATGTGTATTGTGCATTCACTCTTCTCATGTATGTGTACATTAGCTATTGGTTTGTGATTGACTACTCGTCAACAGGGGATGTTGGGAATTTCCCTACTCATTATTGGTCATTATTATTATTGTATTTATTATTGTATTACGCATGCACTCACACTCTTTCATGTGTTTTGATGCTGGTTTGATAAAGAAGAGGATATACAGTCCTTTGAAGTTAAGAAGTGAAAATAACTGGGAATGGGAGGTTACAACTCAACAGGGGACAGCTAGGTGTACTCAATCGAGCCAGAAGAAGGGTATACGCAACAGTCCCAAAAGCCATCTGCTTTGATGTCTAAACGAGCATTGTCAGTTGTAATAGCAGATTTGAGTTGCAGCGTTTCACCAAATAGGGATTGTAGAGGAGGCTCAATGGTCACATTATGACAGACCTCATTGAGTAGACGAGCAGTTAGGTCACAAACACCATTGTGACGTAGAATAGTGAAGCCACCAAGGTGACAGTTGAGACAGTGATCAATGGAGAGTGGAATGCCACAGGAACAGTTGGTAGGCAGGGAAGAGGGTAGATAACCATAACGCAAACAGAGGGCATCAAAAAAGCCCTTTTATGCAGGCTGAATCAATGGTCTTGAATGGGAAGGGAGGTTAGCCAAGGGGAGACACCTTTCTCATTTGCAACATCAAAGAGACGTTGAAGTGAGGGCGAGAGAGTAGATTGGACAGACTCAGAAAGTTGCTTGGAAGAGTGACGATTCTAAAAATGAATAAAATGTTTAATAGAGATCTGAGAGGCTATAGAGTCGAAAGGTATCTCAGTACATTGTGAAACAACCAGATCAACAATAGGCTTAGAAACAGACTGAGAGTTCAAGTATTGGGTGGAGGAGACAGAGACAGGATTGGGAAAACCCAGACCACCATGATGACAGGGTAGCGAAAAAAGGTCTCTAAAATTGTCAGTGGGGGCTTCACTCGAGGTTAGAGATGGTAGTATCTGATGTCGGAAGGCATCTTCAATAGGCTGAAGGAGAGGACCAATATTAGGACTATTCCTCCAGAGGTAGGTCCAATAACCAAACCAACCATGGGTGAGAGCTGAGAGCACAGCCTGGGGGCTTGACTTAGGTTGATAACTCACCAGTCCATACCTTGATCTTTTCTTGGACCCAGGTAGAGATGTAATCATCAGTACCCAGAGGCGAACCTAAAACAGGTCTACCCTCAGAAGAGATGGAGACACAAGTATTACGAAAAATTTCCTCGGCTCTTTGTTTAAAATCATCCTTCACAAGGAGCCATGTTTTGGAAGGGTTAGGAATGTAGCCGAAAGATGGACCAACCTTAACGAGTCTGTGCCACCATGACAGCAAGCTGTCAGTGGAACCACAGACAGAGGAGTCATCAGCCTACCAGACCTGTCTTGTGGATTGAATCTCAGACATTCTGATGATGAGAGGAATAACTCCCAGTGAGTACATTGCCATGGCCAGTGGGTCACCCTGAGTCGTGCCTTCCTGAGACACAATGATCTCACCATCAATATATAAATCAACATTCTCTCTGTAAGTATTCACAAGTACACGACCCAGAGAAGGACACAACTCTAAGACGTTGCGTAGAGCTGCAGCCCTGTTGAGAGAGTTAAAAGCATTGGTTGCATCAACCAAGAGAACTGCTTCAGTATTAGTATCTGCAAACAGATGACACAAACTGTGAACAGCAGCCTCGCAACCACCATCAAGACCAG